TTTACTAATATATAGTAATGACCCAAGTGTGTAAATTCTCTATCCACCAGTGAGTCATATAACTAATGAGCACGTGGCGCTTGGTGAAGAGAATTGTGAAAGAATTCAAAACAAAACAAGAAAGAACGTTCGGCTGCAACGAAGATACATAATATCATACACTGATGTATTTTTATAGCATAAGGTTATAAACCTTTTTTAGCTACATATTTTTGTTATGCCTCATCTGAATAATTTTTTGGAAAATTGTGCCATTGCCTGGGAAATAATATATTATCGATAATTTGTCGATCAAATAGTTTTATATTTAAGAATTGGATCGATTGATATCTCATAAACTCGTGTATATAAAGACGTATAGATGAACAGACAGGCGAAATGGGTAAATCGGACCAACTCCTCACCCTGATCATTTACATATCGTCTCCGCCGTTTCTTTCTGGGTGTTCCTAACTCCATCGCAAGACTTAATATACTCTGTTCAGGGTATAAAAAGTCATGAAGTAAGTCATGTTGCATGCAACAAACAAAACTTCTCTTTTACTTAATTCCTAAGCTTGTTGGTACAAATATTTTTCAATGTTATTGGGCGGAATATATGCGAGTTGCTGCTGGCGTTTTTTGTGAATTGAAGTATGAAATAGCGAGTTGGTGCAATTTACTGTCGGAAATGAGAGTATATAGTTTCAGAATATTGATTCATTTTTATTAAAGACTTAAGATTTTTGATTACACTACTCAAGAAAAGTGAAGGAAAAATTTGCTGCTGATATGCTAGGAAGACTGTGCAGTATTTGAGGTATTATGATTATGAATTTGAGTTCAACAATTTTCCATCACTTACATTTAATTTTGTCATTTTAGTACAACATAAAAATTCTACGTGAGAGGAAATTTTTACCATCATTATCGGTTTTAGCAGGCCAAAATTAGCAAGAAACAGCCTCTTATATCACAATCCCAAAATGAATTTAAACCTTATTCATAATAATAATAATAAAATAATTTTTCATTGATAAATAACTGTCAACTTTGAAAGTGAGTTTAACTTATTTAAATCACTGCCCGTCTTTTAATACTTGCCAAAAAATCCATACTCATTTTCAATCTCAGATGATCCCATATCATTCCTTTGTAACCTTGTGTGTGCATTATACGCATTCATTCAGACTACCGCCAATTTGATTTATGGCAACGTCTAAGACAAGTGTTAGCCGCAAGCGAAATTTAAATAACACGAAATGTAAGCGCGAATGTTTCATCTTCGAAAGACTGTGTTCACACGAGGATTCTTTGTYGCTCATTATATGCAAACTCTATTTTGGTGTCGCTCATATGCACTCGATGAGTTCGAAAACTTGCGGACTAGCTTTTGCATATGACACATATTTAAATTATCGTATTGGGTGAAAAAAATTATTGTTATTTTGTAAGAATTGAAATTTCCGAAATAATAATAAATAAAAGTAAATATTCATTTGAAACCGAGAACCATTTAAGCATAAGCGACACGATTTATTTGTCTTTCATCGTAGACCTCGTCAACCAAAAACAAAAAAAAAAAAAAAAAAAAAAAAAAAATCGGGCGATAAAAGAGTCCTCATGTGAACATAGTCTAAAAACGCGGCTAACCTT